AAAAAATTTGTTGATAATTTTTTACCCATCAAAGAATAATAAAAAATAAAATTTTAAAATTTATGTTGTAAATAAAATGGAATTTATTGAAGTAACATCCAATCGTGTTTTGGACATGTGACCCAGATTCTTTCAGCTTATTAATACTGTAATATGTAAAAGTTGTTAACTCATAGGCATAAAACAAATAAAGCTACTACTACTACTATTTACAATGTAAAAATCGATTATAATCGATTACGAAAAATTAATCGATTAACATCTCTAATTTAAATGTTTCGTTTTAAAGAATTCCACCGCCCACAGTTTAGGCAATTTTTGAGTTTCGCCAATTTCGCCAGAAAGTTTTCAAGGGCGAAATTAGGCCTAAGCCAAAATTGCCTAAATGCCTAAACTATGGGTTAGTTTCAGCCACCATCATTAGTTCACAATTACTACCACTAGAAAATCTTCAATTAATTCGCTCATGGATAAAATCAAGAGTATGTTACCAGTAGAATTTAAAGATGTTCGTCTTAATCTTAACGTGTATTATATTGGAATAATTCTTGAATATCTAAGTAATGAATCTATTTCACATGTTATTCACATTATCGTAGAATCTACACCAGTACTAGAGAGTCATAGATAAATAATATTTTTATATGTATGCTGTTGTTGTTCAGCAACACTTTTAATTTTAATAAAGCTAGGCCTCATGGCCATGATAATTGTTTCAACTATGAATTACTTCCGATCATATAGAGCATTTAGCTTATGTCACATAAGTAGTATATATCTATTATAGCTATATGGTTGGGAATGACGGAAATGACACAATTTTTCCCTTATTAACACAGGCTTATTTTCTATGAAAATACCTATCTTTTCTAATTTGACAATTGACAGATTTATCAAAATTATTAAAATGTCAAATAGATTAACATTAGATGAAGCAATAAGAATTGTTGAAGAATGGGGTGGGTAATGTCTTTCTACTTACTACATTAACTGTTTTACTCCTATGCTTTGGAAATGCAAAGCCCGTTTTAATTCGAAAAACTTGGTGTTGTTCAAACAATCATAAAAAACTCGTACCTAAAAATGTAAAATATACGCTCGAGTATGCAAATCAGCTTGCTTTTAGTAAAAATGGTAAGTTTCTTTCTACAGAATATAAAAATTTTAAAATCGTACTTTTATGGCAATGCGAAAAATTACATACATGGCAAGCATCTTTTTATAATATTAAATACCAAAAAACTTGGTGCTCTTATTACGCAAGATACGAATATAAATTAACACTTGAAAATGCAATACAACTAGCATCTATTAAAAATGGAAAGTGTCTTTCTACAGAATATAAAAACAATAAGTCCACTTTTATGGCAATGCGAAAAATTACATACATGGCAAACATCTTTTAATGTTATCAAATACCAAAATACTTGGTGTCCTTATTATGTAAGAGATAAACGTAAATTAACACTTGAGGATGCAAAACAATTTGCCTTTAATAAATGTCTTTCTACGAAATATAAAAATAGCAAAAACCTGCTTTTATGGGCAATGTAAAAAATTTCATATATGGCAGTCACCAATTAATACCATTAAACACCGAAATAATTGGTACCCTTATTGCGCAGGAAATGCGAAACTCTCTATTGATATTATGCGTAAACTTGCACATAAGAAAATGGAAAATGTCTCTCAGATAGATACTATAATATATATATATAAAGCTTCTTTGGCAATGCATATGTGGGAGGCTGTGCCACATGTGATTTTAAGAGGTTATTGGCGCCCATATTGTAAAAACAAATTTATGTCATGAGAACGTAACAAAATACCTTGGACTGCCATCTAAGATATGTCGTCCCAATTTCTTAAAAACATCAAAATATCCAACAGGATTAGAACTTGATATTTATTATCCACAGTATGGCTTTGCAATAGAAGTACAAGGAGAACAACATGAAAAATATATCAAATTCTTTCATAGGGATCCCATTGATTTTATCCGACAACGAAAGCAGGATAAACTCAAGAAAGAATTATGCAAAGAAAACTGGGTTGTCCTAAGATATGTTTGGTATTATGAAGATCAATATACAGAAAAAAGCCTTTTTTAACGCAATTAGTCAGTTCAAATATAATCATCCAAGGTCCACTTAGTTCATCAGTCTCTGCATTATTAGACTCGACAGGCTCCCCCTGTTCAATTTGAATATCATTTAAACAAGAAGAGCCTGTCGAATCTAATGGTGCTTTAATCAGAAATAATTACAAAAGAAGTCACATCATCGAAGCCCACTTTAAAGCAATCATAAAACTCAGAGATCTACTGGAAATTGAACCTGAACCAATGTTATCTGTCATAACAAATAATAATAATTCTTTCAACGGAAATGATAAATTCAAAACAGTCAAGAGTCATGTTAGTGAAAAAACATGATATAAAAAAATTTAACAACTTAAATGGTTCAAGCTAAACTTGAATCTAAACCAATTTCATTGGTCGTATATTAAGTTAAAAACCAAGGAGCCATTTTGTCAGAATATCAAGATCGTATAACTATTGGATGCGATCCGGCAGCCAATTTGCAAATCAACGATCCAAAGGTACATTGTGTCCTTTCAATTGTAAATAACAATAAATTTAATCAATCATACATATATATTATATGCACATATATAAACAAATAATTTAATAATGTATATATATGCTAATCATTATCATTTCTATTAATAATAGACTATGGAATCAAACTAAGAACTTGTTTTAAATCACGGTGATAACATTTGGGTGAAGACTCGAGGAGAGAATATTGGTAAAATAGTAAAAATCAATTAATTAACATGTATGTTTATGCTTATGTTTATATATTTGGTTTATTGAAGATGCTAAAAATGGATTATGAAAGTCAAATCAGAGCAAAAGAGAATCGCTTACCTGCCCAATTAGGAGAAATACAAAATACATCATGTTGTAAACAACGAAAATGGTATAGTAATAAAGCCAGTTCATTGCGCATTTGAGTGTAAAAATGGTAAATGATGTACGTTACTAGTATTAATATATTAAGGATTACTTGTTGATGTTCAAGAAAGTGAAATCCTGAAGGTTTAAGAAGTTTTTATTAATATAAGATCTTGAATGTTTGGTATTTTCTTTGATCAGTTTACATTTCAAAGTAATTGGTTACATGTATATGATTATTATAATGATTTTTTTAAAGATTAAACCAAAAATTTAGAATTAAATAATATCCAGATGATTTGCAAATATTAATTAAAAGGTATATATATATCTTTCATCAAAGTTTTATTGTTTATGATTTAAAAGTCTGCATGTGATTCTTCATCATAGTCTTCAACTGTTACTCTTCTGAATACATTAACATTAATACTATTGCTATTGGAAGTATTAGTATCTTCGGAGTTCAATAATGCAGTGCCAGATGTTGTTTTTCTAGAATTATATAAATTTTCTTGTGATTTTTTTGATACAAAACGTGAATAAGATTGAACCAATAATGCAAAATATACCTATAAAAATGGAATAAAAAAATTATTTTTCCTTCAAAAATAAATAAATAAATCAATCAATCAATAAAGGATTTCAATTATTTACATGAATGATTGACACAATGACTAAACATGTTACTGATATTATAGATTCTTTTTTCCATGATAATGTTTTTTTAATGGGTAATAGCTCATCACCATCTTCACTACTTGTAGTAGTTGTGTTGTCATTATTGAAAGATGACGTTATTTTTGAGGGTGAATGATTAATAGTATAAAACCATGAGATACCAAATGTTATAGTGAATATTATATTAATAATTAAATCTGTCCAATAAATCTTTGAATATAGTTGTATTACTGTTGGATTTTCCTATAACAATAATTATTTTTAAAGAGGAAGGATAAGTTGTTATATTATCATAATAATTGTAACCTAATTTAATTCAAGAATAACTAATCGTTACCTTTAGAATTCCATTAAGTAGACAATAAAGAATAACAAATGTAATTATTATAGAGTATAAATATGAAATTATAGAGATGAATCCACCTCCATAAAATATTGTTGGAATTCCAAAGAATCCTGATATTTTGTTCAGCTGTATTTAATAGTAAAATCAAATTATTATTTAAAATAATTTATCAATATAGAAATATATGTGGTTATGTTCTTTCAATTATTTACCAAAGCGAATACTGTAATTAAGATTACACCTTGTCATTTTATTTTTATGAAATAGAATTAATTAATATTTTTACAAAATATATATTTAAATAAAAATGTGAATCTTCTTTTTCCAGCTTACCTGTTCTTAACTCGATGAAACCAAAAAGTTTTTTAAAAAATATACTTGTTGGAATACGCATTTTTTTCAACTAAAAAAGTGTTATTTATTATTATTATTATTATTACAAGTCACTCCCGTTATAACGAGATCGTCATTATAACGGGAGTTCATATAAAAGCCACGCGAGAATCATTTATTTTTATTATTGACATTCATTGTTTAATTAGTCATTTTAGTCAATGAATGTTTTTATACATTAAGACTTATTTACCTTCTATTTGATTATCAAAAAAAAAACAATGACAAGGTTGACTTCTGAGAAGTTACAGAAAAAATTTTCTTACAAAAAAAAGAAAATCAGCCGGCCGACCATTATTATTACCTCTTCTTTTCTTTTACATTGATCTTCCAATTGTTTCTGTACTTCATCCATCCTTTAGCATATTTTAAATAAGCTGAATATTTACAGACCTACTAATTTCTTTTATTTTACTATTTCGATAAAAAAACCTGAATTAATATATTCTGGCATCTCAATATCTTTACGTGGGCTACCTTCTGGATACATTTCTCTAATATTGGAATTTGTTTGTTTTATGAATTTGTTGGATTATGTTTTGTCATTTGACTAGATTCGTCATTTTTTTCATCTTCATCTTCATCGACATCTAGGGATGTTAAATTACTCGTCAGTCCAGCTTAGGTTCGGCTCTACCCAGTTTTAGAGTTCAAACAGATTGAACCTTTTTAAAAAAAAGGCTTTTGAGCAATCAAATTCGAAATAATATATATAATCATATAAATATTCTCAAATATGCTATTTAGAGCTAAATTTACTCTGACGAGTTTAGCTTCAATCTGTATTATTTTTATCGTTACACACTAAAACGCTACACTTCAACAATTTGTATTAACGTTAAAATATGTATGATTTATATAATTACTTGAGTGCATTGGCTTAAAATGCCTTTAATTGCGGTAATTCCAGTTTCTTTTCTATAAGCTTAATAGTAATTGGTTTTCAAAATATGTGTTCTTATGTAGAGATTTTTGTATGGTGTTTTTATATGGAAGGTTCTTATATGGAAGTATGACTGTATTTATCCCAAAGTCACGTGTCAAAATTTACTTTATAGACGCGATTTAATAAATAAAAATAATTAATAATACAAAAAAAAAAATTTTTTTTGAAGAAAAATTGAGGGAGCAGAAAAGAAGCTGGAGAGGTTCGAGGAAAAAGGAAATGCGAAATTGAATGAGCTGGATAGGAAGTTGGAGAAAAAAGAATGGGATGAAAGACGGTGTGGAACAATCGGAGAGATGGATTAATCGAAGAAAAAAAGAAGCTGAAGAGCATGTGCTATATATACGAGCATCATTAGCTGAAAAAAGTAAAGAAAAGGTAACGGGCAAATTGCATAAAAAACATACAAAAAATTACTTTCGCTCGTTCCATTTTGTTTATTTATTTATTCATTTGAATGATCGTTTGGTATACTGTTTACAACTTTAACTTCTCTTCTGTTTATTTATTTTCTATTGCTGCCTCCTATTGACACAGGAAAAGAAATTGAGAAAAATAAAGGTAAGCATCATTTATGTACACTTAATAATTTCTATCCATTTACTCTTTACACATGTTAATTATAACGATAAACACCAAATACGATCAAGATGAAGATGAAGATGAAGATGTCGATAGGGATATTAATTTGTTTCCTTTAAAATCTTTATATTTCAACTAAATTAATGATATCAGATTACTTACTTACCTTTGAGTTTCAATGCGATATTTTGAAGAATCGTTAAAAAGATGGAAAAATGATGTTTGTTAAATCTTTCATCGAAGAATCATTCTCGTTCACATAATACATAATTATGATGTTCACTTTGTCTGGTTTGGTTGCAGCATGCTCCATATACAAACTGACACATCATTTTAACTCAATTGGTGACCGACCACCAAAACCAATTGGGCAATAATATAACCAACATTTTCTGACTCCCCACCTTTTATTTTATATATTGTCAAAGTAATTTGGTAAGTAATTCAGAAGTTAGCTATAGAAGCTTTTTTGCATTTGGTAAACGATGTGTTATTAATCTGGTGAACGCGCAAACAAATTTAATATTTAATATTTATTCATTAGACAAGAATGGTGTAATACTTTAATATATATTCTTCTATCGAATGTTATTTATGGATGGATATGCTTTTTTCAAATTGCCTCAACTATAAATGCACCAAGTTAAAAAATTTTTTAAATTGTCCAATCAATTTATGAATCGGCCAATCGCATAAAAAATAAACAAAATTGTATATGACGCTGGGTATCACAAAATAAAATTTTATAATGAAGAAAATGAAAAAAAAACCATTCAACAGTCCTAATCATCATCAAATTATTAAAAAACCTATAGCAGAAGAGGGAGCAAGAATAACACAGAGGTCTGAACGATTTCGTGAATCACTTGATCAATCACAATTGGAAAGAGTTGGTATAAAACATGACCACAGAAAAATATTATCGAAACAAAAGGCTCCAGTGCAATATTTTGATGTTGTGGATGATTTTTTAGATGTTTTCGAAATTTATATCGACACACAAATTTCAATAGATAATCTCAATAAACTTCCTTTAAGTATTAATGACAGCATTAATAATAACAAGAGACTTCTTGCAAGAGATTTCTTCAACGAACATTCACCACCAATAAGGCTTAATACTTTATACCAAAAACAATACGAGAAAGAACCAGATAATGTTGATTATTCATTTGAAAATGTTGCCGACTTGGAATTATCATCACCCTTTAGATCCAAAAATAAAAATTCAAGGCAGAATAGTATTCACGATATTGAGATGATAGAAGACAACACAGAAATTAGACCAAGATCAAGATCAATGAGTATAGCAAGTTCTATGTCAGATTTAATGGAGGTCGATGACCAGTTTGCCATTTTCGGCAACAAACCTTTATCCCCAAATATCAGACAACCAACTTCTATATTTTCATCTCAAGCTATAGGAAATAAAATGCCACAAGCGGCAAATCCCCTTTCATTATCATCATCATCATCATTATCATTATCATCATCATTATCATCATTGTTTTCACCAACTATACCTATTAGTATTTCAGATGATAGGCCAATTAATGAGAATATTAAGCCGACGTCAGTCTTTGAATCACATGATAAAAAGTTAGAAGTAGTTTCAGGCGAAAAAAAAGTGATTGGTAAGGATCCTCAACTGCCTGAACTGTCTCACAAGGAAACTGTAGCAGAGGAACAAGGCGATCAAAAACAAAAGAAAGATGAAGAAATAAAATGGAAGGTTTTTAAAGTATCAGGACCACCATCATGTATAAATCTTCATGAAGAGATAAAAAAATTACCAGTGTTTCCAGGAGATAAAAAACGTGAAGAAAAACGTAAACAACGCATTTCCAACTATAAAAGGTGTAATATTAAGTTCACGTCATTAAGAATGCTTGAAAAGCAGAGAAGAAAAACTGACAAAGAGAGAATTATCAATCAAATGCGAAACATAAAAACAATATTGAGGGAATTGGATAGAAAAGATATGCAAGGATATAAACCTGGTACCAAAGCTTTATAAGAAATCAGGCAACATCAAAACTAACAAATCTCCTTCTTGAGAAATTGCTATTTTCTAGAGTAGCTAATTAGTAAATTAGAATAAAAAATTTATCATAATGATTATTATTATTTATTAAAATATTCAATTTCCTAAAAAAACGATATTAAAACCTAAACATTATAGGCCAGAGATATTGCCATAAATATCCTTCCAGCAATTTCTCAGATAGCACTCGCACTTCAAGAAAGTATTCTAGAAAAAAAAATCTAATAGATATCTAATATATATATTAATTTCAATATTTATATATATAGCTACTGAAACTTATGCTATACATTCTTTTCAAGATATGAATTTATTCATAAACAAGTTACATTAATGCAGAATGATATTCAATTGGCCAGAAGAATTCATGGAGAAATTTTTATTATTTTTATACAAAAAAATTTTCAAGTAAATATTTTTACTTCATTAGTAAATATGTACTCATTTTCTTTTTTCTCTTTCACAAATATTATATATACATATATATACATATACATACATATATATATATATATATATATATATGAAGTGAATAAACATTTAATGATATTATTATCATAATTTTTTTTTTGTTAATTATTTACATTGTACATTAAAAAGAAACAGGCGGAATTAAATATTAAATGTTAAACATCAAACAAATATTTTATTAAAACACAATTTTGGGAAGTATGAGATTAAAAAAAAAGGTGAAAATTAAAAGTTTTTTTTCTTGAATGATTTTTTCTTTCTTTACAAACATATGTACATTCATTCATTAACTTTGTTTAATGATGCAAGCCAGCTAAGAAATTAAATGACTTGGTATTTGATGAATTAAATAAGTGACTTACATGACTTCCAATAAAATTTGTTATTAATTAGAAAAACCAAGAAAACAACTCATACTAGTAATAATCAACAATATTTTGACAAGTGATTTTGCAAGTAAATTGGCTTTCCATTGAATAAAGCAGATCTAATAAATAGCATATTATTAATATCAATGAATTTGATTTATCATTATAATAAATATTACAAAATGATAATACAAATAATAGGTCAATTATTTCTGTCATCCTACCAATGTAAAAAGTTACAAAAACAAAAAAATGGTTAAATTTTTGTTCAATAAGTTTATATGGTTTAGTACTTTGCTTCTTTTTGTCACTTAAATTTACAACTCCAATCTCTAAATGATAAATAACAAAATGTGCTATTACTAAATACATACCATAACATATTTCTATTAATGGTGCCTACACTAAAATTATCCATTTACCACTTTCCTGCATTATTATAAATGTGGGCCATTTCCTCAGCTATATCTTTTAAAGACTATTTTGCAAACACATACTTCATCATATGCAGATCCAAATTTCAGAGGTTGGTAAATGTGTGGTCCATTGGGTCCATTAGCGTAACACTTTAACCATATTAAGTATTTTATTAATGGCAATGGACCAGTCAATTTGCCAACCCTGGCTTGACATATTGGCATATTTCACATGTATTTGTTGCTTCTCTTCATCATTTGAGATTTCATATGATCTATATATTTGGAGAGACTCCAATCCTTATTTTCTTTGAAATATTAGTCTTGGTCCCACTTTCTTCAGTTGATGTAGATGCAACTGCGACCACATTATCATCAGTTTCTACTGGTTTAAGAGGCAAATAAAAAAGATCAAGGTTTCAGTTGAACAGACCAATAATCCCACTGCTATTTTTTGTAATAGTGACTAGAACCACCACCACCTTTTTAAAATGATAAATAATAACAATATTTGCCTTTTAACTGCTTCTGCAGTGTTTTTTTTCTTCCAAACTTGTTTATGCATATTAAAGATTAAAAAAATAAAATAAAATAAAATAAAATAAAAATAAAATAAAATAAAATAAAATAAATAAAATAAAATAAAATAAAATAAAATAAAATAGAAAGGTTTAACACTTTATTCATCTTCAAGATGATCAGGAGAACCTTTTAAAACCTATGTTAATTTGTTATTAAATATAACCTTGCAGTTGCATATTCCCCAGCAGAGTCAGAGATAGCATAGTGGACATTTGATTTCATTGGCTAAATTTTGTGATGATATCCCTTCCAAATATCATGCAAAAATTAAATTTTATTGGCTTGAATATCATTACGCAAATTTGAAAAACAAAATATTAATCTATTATATTAAAAACGTTAGGTTCATGTGAGCGTAATGTTTAGAATGGTGCCCACGCATAAATAAACGTAACATTTAGGCTGCCACGCATAAATAACATTTTTGAATTGTTCAATAACACAAATAAATATGTTGTGATGTGTGGCCACATGCAATCTATCTATTATTGTATCATTGGGTTACGTTTAGACTACCACAAGCACATAAATAAATATGTTGTGATGTGTAACTTTTAGGCTACCGCATGTAAATGACTTTTAAATTGTGATACAATAAAATTCCACAATAAAATATTTGATATTAATGCTATTAATTTACAGTATTAAATAATTTTGAATAAAAAAAAAAATTACAAGATTATTTATAGCATGCTCTAGATGTAAACCGTCAGCAAAGCTGACGGGTTACACCTAGTATTAATATTAATATCAGAGGGAATGATAAAAATAAAATGTTTATAATAAATAAAAAAATTAATATAGTATTTCTTTATTGAATGTTTTTAATA